GGAGAAAACCCTCTGCGAGTAGGAGAAGCTTAGTTGCCTCACTCTGTTCTCAGAGTGGTTACTTGGTTAGTTCATTGCATCATCACTGGGTCCAGCGCTCGCATGTGGCTCATCCTGACCGCTGCAGATGCGCGCCGAGACACATCGGCCTTCGAGCCAACGCAAAAAGAATACACGTCATGGCACGATTCCGGCGGGCGAGCAGAGAAACCCCTCAGCGAGTAGGAGAAGCTGAGTTGCTTCATTATGTTCTCAGAGTGGTAACTTGGTTAATGCATTTGATCGTCACTGGTCCCAGCTCTCGCAAGCGCCACGTCATGCCCGCTGCAGGTGTGCGCCGAGACAGTTGGACAATCGAAGCACCACAATCGAAAATATCGCATGTCACGGTTCCTGTGGGCGCGCTGAGGAAACCCTCGGCGAGTAGGAGAACCTGAATGTCTTCACTCTGTGCTCAGAGTGGTTACCTGGAAAATAAGCTTGATCGTCACTGTGTCCACTTCTCGAAAATACTCCATCGGCCCGCTCACAGAGGCGCGCTGAGATACATCGACACTCCGATATCCACAGGAACTCGAGAAGTCGCCCCATGCGTTCCTGCGGGCGTGCTCAGGAAACCCTCTGCGAGTAGGAGAAGCTCAGTGGCTTCACGCTGTGCTCAGAGTGGTTACTTGGTTAGTTCATGTGATCGTCACTGGGTCCAACGCTTGTACGTGGCGCATCCTGACCGCTGCAGATGCGCGTCGAGACACGTCAGCACTCGAATCCACACAAGAAGCATACATAACGTGGCGCGGTCACTTCGGGCGTGCGGAGAAAACCCTCTGCGAGTAGGAGAAGCTTAGTTGCCTCACTCTGTTCTCAGAGTGGTTACTTGGTTAGTTCATTGCATCGTCACTGGGTCCAGCGCTCGCATGTGGCTCATCCTGACCGCTGCAGATCCGCGCTGGGACACATCGGCCTTCGAGCCAACGCAAAAAGAATACACGTCATGGCACGGTTCCGGCGGGCGAGCAGAGAAACCCCTCAGCGAGTAGGAGAAGCTGAGTTGCTTCATTATGTTCTCAGAGTGGTTACTTGGTTAATGCATTTGATCGTCACTGGGCCCAGCTCTCGCAAGTGCCACGTCCTGCCCGCTGCAGATGTGCGCCGAGACGGTTGGACAATCGAAGCACCACAAGCAGAAAGATCGAATGTCACGGTTCCTGTGGGCGCGCTGAGGAAACCCTCGGCGAGTAGGAGAACCTTAATGTCTTCACTCTGTGCTCAGAGTGGTCACCTGGACAATAAGCTTGATCGTCACTGTGTCTACTTCTCGAAAATACTCCATCGGCCCGCTCACAGAGGCGCGCTGAGACACATCGACACTCCGATATCCACAGGAACTCGAGAAGTCGCCCCATGCGTTCCTGCGGGCGTGCTCAGGAAACCCTCTGCGAGTAGGAGAAGCTCAGTGGCTTCACGCTGTGCTCAGAGTGGTTACTTGGTTAGTTCATGTGATCGTCACTGGGTCCAACGCTTGTACGTGGCGCATCCTGACCGCTGCAGATGCGCGTCGAGACACGTCAGCACTCGAATCCACACAAGAAGCATACATAACGTGGCGCGGTCACTTCGGGCGTGCGGAGAAAACCCTCTGCGAGTAGGAGAAGCTTAGTTGCCTCACTCTGTTCTCAGAGTGGTTACTTGGTTAGTTCATTCAATTGTCACTGGGTCCAGCGCTCGCATGTGGCTCATCCTGACCGCTGCAGGTTCGCGCCGAGACACATCGGCCTTCGAGCCAACGCAAAAAGAATACACGTCATGGCACGGTTCCGGCGGGCGAGCAGAGAAACCCCTCAGCGAGTAGGAGAAGCTGAGTTGCTTCATTATGTTCTCAGAGTGGTTACTTGGTTAATGCATTTGATCGTCACTGGGCCCAGCTCTCGCAAGTGCCACGTCCTGCCCGCTGCAGATGTGCGCCGAGACGGTTGGACAATCGAAGCACCACAAGCAGAAATATCGAATGTCACGGTTCCTGTGGGCGCGCTGAGGAAACCCTCGGCAAGTAGGAGAACCTTAATGTCTTCACTCTGTGCTCAGAGTGGTTACCTGGACAATAAGCTTGATCGTCACTGCGTCTACTTCTCGAAAATACTCCATCGGCCCGCTCACAGAGGCGCGCTGAGACACATCGACACTCGAATATGCACAGGAACTCGAGAAGTCGCCCCATGCGTTCCTGCGGGCGTGCTCAGGAAACCCTCTGCGAGTAGGAGAAGCTCAGTGGCTTCACGCTGTGCTCAGAGTGGTTACTTGGTTAGTTCATGTGATCGTCACTGGGTCCAACGCTTGTACGTGGCGCATCCTGACCGCTGCAGATGCGCGTCGAGACACGTCAGCACTCGAATCCACACAAGAAGCATACATAACGTGGCGCGGTCACTTCGGGCGTGCGGAGAAAACCCTCTCTGCTTAGTTGCCTCACTCTGTTCTAGTGGTTACTTGGTTAGTTCATTGC